CAGGGTGTCTGATGAGCGAGAGTTGCGTGTGTATGTCCTAGGGCCAGGGTTTGATTGTTGGGTGGCTCAGCCCTTTGGGAAGTGAGACTGGTAGCATAGACCATACTCTGATGAGGTGATCTGCTGTTCCTTTGTGGGCAAGTACTGGGTGAGTGATGCCTTTTGCTCGAAGGACCTTCTTAGTTTGAAACTGAGACTGCTGCCCGGCCTGCCTGATGTCTTCAGGCTGCTGCACTGTGCTCCCGGTCAGACAGGTCCAAATAAACCAGGGCTTGTGTGCTGCACAGCTGGCAGCCGTGCTCTTGGTTCTTCTCCAGGCCCTCCCTTTGATTATCCTCTTCTATTTTCCCATCTGTAGTGTGGCAATAATATCCTTACCTTTGCCAGAGTAATACTGAGGTTGAATGTTTGTTGTTAATCAAGGTAAGAGCCTCTGAACAAATGTGCACCGTTATCACCTATTGTCATCATTTCTTGATACAAACTCTTGAGCCTTTTGTTGTTGTTGGCTCCCCACAGTGTGACTAGATAACATAATCTCTCATCAGCCTTCTGCACCAGCTCCTTCAGTTGCTATTATCAGGACCTGTCTTGTGACATTGCTGCAGCCCCCCGGGGACAGTGGTGATGTGGTTGAAGTGGCTTGAGCAGGATGATTACAGAGGGCTCCTACTTACACACACTCGGTGCCTCTGAACACCGCCAGCCCCGAAGCACGCTCACAGTGACGTGTGGGTGTCAACACTTGATTTCAGCGATGGCATGTGCCTTTCTGGCCCTCAGTGTATCACTTTGCACTTCAGCCATTTCAGTGCTGCTGTGCTCCTGCCCCTCTGGTTGCTGAGGGCTTTGATAGATGGAGATGAGAGTCTGAGCCGGTGTCTTTTTCTTGCTCCTCCCACGTGGATCAATAAGACATGGCCCAGGTCTAATGAAAGTGCAGCTAAAGAGAATAAAAGACTTTCTGATGGAATCTATTTGCTCTCCAGGGACTGTATGCCAGAGCAAAGCCTGGTGTGTGTGTGTGTGTGTGTGTGTGTGCGCGCAGATGCTGCTCTGCCTTCTCCTGGGGTGTCCCACAGCTGGGTGGGCTGTGGGTTACACCATCCTGCAGCCCGTGATTTCAGAGGAGGATGAGCCAGGAAGGACAAACACTGGCAACACCACTGACCTTTGCTGTGTGTTCTGGTAGATCTGTTTGCTGCTCTGCTATGGTGTGGGTGCTCACTTGTTACTCCACAACACCCCAAGGACCAAGATGTGTTGATGGGATGTGCTACAGTTGGGCTGGCAGATTAGATGGTGTAAAAAAATCCTTCAGGCCCTGGCTACCCCTCCTTTTTTAGGAGGAGACTGCAGGAGAGCAGCTGTGAACCTCCCAGAGATGAGCAAGAAAATCAATACGGAAATTAGTGGAGAGCAGAGCTGTTCCTTCCCTGCCACCGAGCCCCGGCAGCAGTGCCCTCAGCCGGGCAGAGCTTTGGCTGTGCCTGGAGCAGTGTTCTTTATGGAGAGCAAGGCAGGATGGCTGGAGGGAGGTGATGAAGTCAGCCCCCAAAAGCCCACGGCAGGTGTGGTTAAATGGCATGCTGCATTTTTCTGTGGCAAGCTCCTTAGGATACCATTTGCAGCGCTGATGGAGGGGAGTGGCAGTTCTGCACCGGTATTTCGAGGTTGAATAGCAGGAGGTTTTAAACAGAAGACTGCTTGAGGGTCGAGAAAAATTGGGCTATTATCCACCCTGGAGTTAAGATACTAGCTTTGGTCCCCTCTTTAGCTTGGGGATGTGAGGACATCTGCTCCAGCCTCTTTTGAAGGTGGTGCCTTCTGTTCTGGCACACTGGGATTTTGAGGAGGGGGGACTGTGTGTGTCACTTTTGCACCAAGGCTGGGTCCTGTGTCCTGCTCCTTGTTAACCACAGACTGGCCTCGGGGGTGGCTTCACCTTCCCTGTGAGGAGAAGCGACTGATCCGGGGTCCATGTGCTCTGCTAACGGGTGACACGCTCAGCAAGGCCCTTGGCCACTGCAGGTGGCCCGGGACACTGGCCCTGGCTGCCAGCGCAGAGGAGGGCGACTGAACCCGGCAGCCGGCTTATCCCGTGTCTGCGCTCGGGAAGACGGAGGCATTAGCTCAGGCAGTTGCAGCTTCTTCCCGGAGGAATGCGTCACGTTGCCATCTGTCCTTGTTTAACATAACGTGCTGGCTGCTGAGCCAGGCAGCAGAGAAGGAACAGGGCTTGGCGCCTTCCTCTTGGTTTGTGGCTTTCCCTGCAGCGCTTGTTTTACTTCACGTTTAAGACTGGCTTTGCTTCCCACCATGGTAGGGTTTTTTTGCTTTTGTGCAGTGGTGGTTTTTAGCAACAAATAGCACCTGCAACAGATTTGGGCAGACTTAGCAGAGAAGAGGAGAATTAAGTCGATTTATGTGGGGCAAATATTCTTGAAGGGAATGTGTGCCTTCATCTAATCCCTCTCCGCAGAAGGCAATCTGCGCGGTATCACATAGGACTCGCTTTGCCATCCAGCTCATGCAGAGGAGTTGGAGCTGAAGCCTCCTCGGGTCACCGTGTGTGTGTGGCTGAGGGACTGCCAAAGCCTGGGGTATGGTTTTGAACTGGATGCGTGGCCTCCCTTTTTGGGAAGGTTTCTAAGAATAAATGGCTATACATGCTGCTAGCCCGGGGTGGAAGCTTCTCGGAGACAAGCTCTCCTTGGATTTAGCAGTGGTGGCAGAGCACATGGTTTTTTTTTTTTTTTCAAGCACCTCACATGCTTCTGGCAGAGGCTGCCAGCGAGCTGCCGAGGTGGAAGGGAAAACTGCCTCTGATCACAGAGTTAACGTGGGGCAGGGGGAAGCGGGTGGGCAGCTCTGCTGCTGCCCTGATGTCAGGGGACACAGCCCTGGGCAGAGCAGCAAGCTCGCACAGAAGGATCCTGAATTGGAACCACCAGATACCGGTTTCAGAGCCCTGACGGTGTCCTTCCTCTCGAAGTGACAGACATTAACACAAAGGAGAACCCACGTTGTCTTGTCTTGCTCTGCCAGCGGGCACCTACCAGCGGGTGTTGCTTTGCTGTGGAGGCCGGATGGACTTGGCATCTCTTGGGGCCGGCTTAGGTGGCGATTAACTCGCTCTGCCACTGACCATGGGAGCCCTTCACACACAAGAGACTGTGAGGATTTGCCTGCGCTCGGAGAAAGTGCAGCTGAGAGGCAGCAGGGAGCATCAGCCAAGAGCCCTTTAGCAGCTGACAGGTTTTATTTTTGAGGTGGTGTTACGATCTGGAAACGGCGCTTTGAACACAGGCTGGGAGGCATCTCTGAACCTTTGGGGATAGTCTAAGCCAGCTTGTGGGCAAAGCTGCTGGGTTTGGGCTTAACAGAGAAGAGACTGTAGCACATGGAGAGGATATGGTAACCCTCAGTGCCTGGGTGTATTTGGTGCTGTGCTGCCTGTTCAGCTTGGGGCAAATGTTTGTCCGGACAGTGTGTTCCTGCAGTGCTGGAGGAGAGATGAGGATGAACACCAAGGGGGTGGCAGCAGCAGTCGGTGCGAAACCCCTGCGAACCTGTTGGTTTTCAAGTGAGATGCCATCAGTAGGTTTCAGAGTTATCGGTGAGGTGTTCTGCTGGGAGCTGTGGGCTTTTTCAGGCCCTGCAGACCGAGGCAGATGTCAGTACTCCCTGGGCTTGAGCTGCAGGCTGCCTGGATGCTCATGTGAGCTGAGGTGAAGCTGCAGGTCTGTGCGACACCTGGGGTTTCTTGCAGCCCTGCGCCGGCAGCAGCGGGACGCAGGCAGAGCTGTGCCGCCATTCCTCGTGTCGTCTTTGTCCTCTTTCCTTTCCCTGAGGCAGGGGCGCTGCCTTGTCCCCCCAGCACTCCTGAGTCCTGTTCCCAAAGCCACCCAGAGCTCTGCTTTGCCCCCGTGCTGGTTTCCAGCCCGGCGATGGCTGAGCTGGGGTGCGGCAGCTCCGTGCCCAGGAGTGGGGAGTTTTGTCACCCCCACTCCCAGCCCACACTGACCACAGCTGCAAAATTCAGCACTGACCTAGACTCATTTTTTCTTTTTTTTTTTTTTTTTTTTTTATCAGTTCTTCCTCGGTTTGTCCTCGTTTTTGTCTTTTTACTTTTTTCCTATTCCTCTTTATGCTGTTAAACTTCTAGCTTGGAGCAGCCTGGCGATGTCTGTCCTGGGGAGAGCCCATAACTCTGCTGAAGGAGAGGCTGCCGTGAGCGAGGAGAGAGGAAGAGGAGCGGAGCTGTGGTAGCAACAGCCCTCTTTCAGGGGAAACACGATGAGCTGGTAGACCTAAGCGGTGTAACACATCATCACATGCGCTCTACCCAGTCGCAGGACCTCCTTTGCAAACAGAAGTGCTCCTTCTCAGGCTTTGCTCATGTGGGACAGGCCTCCGTCGCAGATCCACGTGTTGAAATGCTGGTGTGCAAAAGCAGTGAATTAAAATTGCTCTCAGCTAACGTGTTTTTCTCTTTTCTTTTTCAGGAACGCCAAGGCCGTGTCAAGTAAAAGGCCATTCCTCCTCCCACAGAGACTGCAGCAGAGATTGCATCCCAGCTGTCTTTCAGAGAGAGAAAGAAAGAGCAAAAATATCCCACAGAGAATTAGGACTTTTTTTTCTTAATTTCATTGACTTCAAAAAGACTCTTACAAACTTGCAGTTTAAAAAAAGAAAAAAAGTATTGGAATTTCACAAGACATAGGACTTAAAAAAACAAAAACAACAAAAAAAAATCCCTTCTAGATAGCGTATAGGTAAAAACTGTCCCCTTTCTTTTGGCTTTGGTTGTGATTTCAGAGCATACGCTTCGTTTTTTGTCTTTTTACTATGTTTTTTCGGATTTTAAAGTCCGTAAGTGGCATATGCCTTTTTTTCTCTTAATTTTTAAACCCCGCTGCTTCCCTTCCTTCCACCCCCTCGCGCCTCCTTCCCCTGGTTTTGACATTTGCACTTGGAACGCCGAGTTGTAACATCCACCATGAAAAGTGGAGTAACTTTTTTTTTTTCTTCCCTGCCCCCCCACCCCACCCCCCTGGCCTAGAAGAAGAGGAGGAATTCTACAAGGAAGTTGGGGTTTTGGCCTAAGAAGAATTGAACAGAAATTGTCCACGAGGTGGTGTCCTAAAGGTGGTTCATTTTTCTCTGACCCTTTGTTACTCAAAAGTCAAGTACTAGGAGTCCTAAGAAATGTTCTGTTCTTGTGCATTATACAGATTTACAGATTAAGTCTGGATTAATTTGATTTTGAAAGCTAAGAACAGTGGTAAAAACTTGTTTTGTTTACAGAAAAATGAATTTTGGACAAAAAAAAAAAAAATAATTGTAAAATGTGTAGTGAATATGTTTCTTCAGTTTCTTGTTAAGCCAATGAGGAATGGGCGTTGCCTTTCTTTTCACCATTAATCACTTCTCAATAATAAACGTGAGATCCTGTCCAGCATCACTGTTGTCTGCCGCTCCCTTTTCAGCCCTGCCCGCCCCGTGGCCGGGCGAGGACACACACCTCGCTCTCTCCCCTCTGCACAGCAACCTGGGGGCTCGCTGCTCTATTAATACCTTAAAATAATGAGGGGAGCCTGGTTTCTCCTTGGGTTTGAAGCGGGGTGCTGTGACCCGTCTCCGGGCGCAGTACAGGGCTTGGTCCCAGCCCCTGGGGGTTGATTTTGCTCCTTGATGTGGGAAGACGGCCGTGGCGTGGGCGAGGGGGCAGTGCCCGGCCTCGCCGCTCAGGATTTGTTCCCACTTCCTGGCTAAATTGGGGATTATCCGGTTCCTTCCAGGTGTGTGAAATGCAGACACCCACTTGCATCCCAAATGATCCCTGGGAAAAGTGCTCGAGGTCAAGAAATCAAAAATCCGGGTTTTCTTGTTTTGTCAGTTCAGAGGGAATAAAAGAGCCACAAATGAATCCACAGTGCTTTAATTGTCAATACTTAATGGGTTGTTGTCAAGGAAAGTTGTGCTGTGTTGAAAATATCTCCATTATTAAATCACAGTTGGGAAACATCTGGGAGCAGCCAGCTGCCAGCTCTGCTGCTCTCACCTGGGGTGGGAAATCAGCCTGGTGAGCCTCGCCTTCCCCCCACACAGGGCGGCAAATATTCACACACCCTCCGCACGCACCAAAAAGTCCGTTGGGTTTTTTTGTTTTTTTTTTTTAATCTTTTGGTTTTGGACTAATTCTAGCTTCTGAAAAGCAAACAAAACCCAGCTCCAAATAGCCCGGTCTGTGTTGGGTGAGGACCTGGGCTGCTTCCCGGGGAGGGTGTGGGCTCGTGTCAAAAGCAGTTGTGTGGCCATTTGCATTTTATTGGTATATTTTACTTGTTTTCTCCAGAAGAATTTCTGTCCTCTTCGTTCTTTGATGGCTTTGGCCTCTCTGCCTCCGAGCTGGCTGAAAGTGCAAATTCCTTGTTGGTGTCCCCATGTGTTTCCAGAGGGAGCGTAAAACCTGCATTGTTTGCAAAGCTGGAGGAAATAAGGGCGGAAAGTTTGACTTGATTAAAGGCCCAAATTAAACAATTTGTCTTTTGGGAGAATCCTAGTTGTGAGTAACAAAAAAAAAGCCAGAGAGAAGTTTTTTCTGATGTACCTGGCAGGTGTTTGTGTGCTCAGCCTCACTGTTGGTCAGACCCAGGTTGTTCCCACTTCTGGTCTTCAACACCCGGAGAGAGACACGAGAGGAACAGGAAGATGCGATTTGAAAACCACGATACTTCAGATGCAGGTGTAGTACCTGCAATTATTTTTATGTAACAAAAAAATAACTTTATTTACAGGTCATATCCGTGCCCTCTGACCTGGGATGGCCCCAGGCTGGTGTCACGTGCTGCTGCTTAAATTTCCTCTTGTGTTTAGCTGTGTGAAAGCTAAAATACTCCTTTTTTTTTTTTTTTTTTCCCTTCTTTTAAAGCAGGTGAATTGCTGGGATGTCGCACTCCTGATGCCTGTTCCCTGCAGGATTTACTCCACAGCACCTTCAACCTTGGCATCACTTCCATGGAAACTCGCTGCCTCCAGGGCTGTGTGTGGGGGCGGGAGCCCAGTGTACCCAGGGACCTAAAACGGCTCCATTTCACCCCAAACTGGAAAGGGGAGAGAAGAATAGGTAGTTTTGTACGTCGCTGGCTGGCTGTGCTCCTTTACTGGTTGGGAGACCTGTGGAGCTTTCGGAGGGGAACAGAAAGGGTAACACCAAAATCCGGCTTGATGTTAAAAATTAGGAGTTTATTTTTGAAGGAGGAGGCCAAGTGAATGTCCCAGAGTAGAAATAGTCCTGGGAAAAAGGGGTAGCTCAGATGTGGGGAAAAATGTGAATATTTGATGTGTGACTTTGAGGTAGCGGCTTCTGCCAACCCTCCTGAGGGTGGTTGGAGGGCAGGACTCGCAGGGAACGGCTTCAGTCTGGGACAAAAATGGGAACTTTTTAGAGCACCTGAGGAGGCTTCGCAGACATGTCTGTGGACAGCAGACTTCAGGAAACAGGCAAAAAAAAAAAAAAAAACCAACCTTTCCATTGTTAGAACTGAAGGCCGTTTCCCCCTAAGCATGGCACAGGTGAGGGGAAAAAAAGTATTTATTACTGCCACTTCTTTGCAAAAAAAAAAAAAAATAAGAAAAGGAAAAATACTTGCAGGGTTCCCTGGGCTGGGTAGGGAAAGGGATCCCTGTCTGTGTTTACCTGCTGATGTGCAGCTCCCCCCAGCTTGGAGGGAGCAGAATTCCCCCTGGGAAGGGGCTGGGATGCTTTAGGAGGTGGCTGGGAAGCAAAGGCCTCACCGGGTACCAGCAAGGGAAAAGGAAAGAAAAGCAAAGCCCCTTCCCTGCTGCGGTTCCTGAGCTTGGCCTTCGCACGGTGGGTCCGTGCACGGACAGATTTGGGGTTTTCCAAACTGCAAAGACCCCAAACTCCCCCGGGAGGAAACGCAGCTCAGCTGAGCCCTGGAGGCAGCAGAATCCAGGCAGGGGAGTTTGGGGGGGGGGGGGGGGCAGGTTTCTGGGCCGGGGCTCAGCACCCAGGGCTGCTCTTGCTGTTGGCACCATCTGCAGCTCCGCTCTGCACCCCCCTGCATGGCTGTGCACCCCCCTGCATGGCTGTGCACTGCTCTGCACCCCTGTGTGCTGCTCTGCACCCCCCTGCATGGCTGTGCACTGCTCTGCACCCCTGTGTGCTGCTCTGCACCCCTGTGTGCTGCTCTGCACCCCCCTGCATGGCTGTGCACTGCTCTGCACCCCTGTGTGCTGCTCTGCACCCCCCTGCATGGCTGTGCACTGCTCTGCACCCCTGTGCACTGCTCTGCACCCCTGTGTGCTGCTCTGCACCCCCCTGCATGGCTGTGCACTGCTCTGCACCCCTGTGCACAGGTCTGCACCCCCCTGCATGGCTGTGCACTGCTCTGCACCCCTGTGTGCTGCTCTGCACCCACCTGCATGGCTGTGCACTGCTCTGCACCCCCCTGCATGGCTGTGCACTGCTCTGCACCCCTGTGTGCTGCTCTGCACCCCCCTGCATGGCTGTGCACTGCTCTGCACCCCTGCGTGCTGCTCTGCACCCCTGTGCATGGCTGTGCACTGCTCTGCACCCCTGTGTGCTGCTCTGCACCCCTGTGCATGGCTGTGCACTGCTCTGCACCCCTATGTACTGCTCTGCACCCCTGTGTGCTGCTCTGCACCCCTGTGCATGGCTGTGCACTGCTCTGCACCCCTGTGCACAGGTCTGCACCCCTGTGCATGGCTGTACACCCCTCTGCACCCCTATGTGATGCTCTCCCAGCCTCTCTGAGCTGTTTTGGGGCTGCAGAGCATTGCAAAGCCTGGGAGGCAGCAGTGCTTGCAGGGAAGGGCAAGACACTTCTAAAATAAGCATCTTTGATGGATTCGGGCAGCTCTCCCTCCTTGGCCTCGAGTCACTGAATGCCATCCTGCAGGGACCCCAAAATCCCTACCCTGCCCAGGGCCTCGGTGGGGGGGGACAAGGGGAAGGGGGGTGGGTCTGAGCATCCAGCTCCCCCTTGAGTGATGCTGAATGTGTGGCCGGGCTGGATCCCAGCTCCTTTCCCCGGAGGAGGGTGGGTGCTGCACCCCCACTGCCAGAGCAATTCACCTGTTTTAAAAAAGGGCAAAGAAAAGAAGACAAAATAGAGGATTTTAGGTCTGACGCAGCTAACACAGGAGGAAAAATAAGTAGCAGCATGTGACACCAGCGTGGGGCCAGGTTAGAGGACAGAGCAGTTAGTGCTGTTCCCAGAGCCGGCGGGGGGGGATGGTGCGTCCCCCCCCCAGCCATGAGGCAGCACCGGGGCTCCCTGCATTTATAGATGAGAGCCTTCACTGATGAACCAGCCCCTTTCCCTCCCCACCGCCCCAGGCCAGCCCCTGCGGGTCACCTCCCAGCCCGGGAGCTGTCCCGTGGGGAGCTGAGCAACAAGACACAATCTGTCCCCCAGCCAGACCCTCTTTTGGGGGCTTGCAGGTGTTCAACTGGATGTCCTTGGCTCCTTCATCCAGGCCTTGTTTTGGCTGCCAGGAGGGGATGGAGCGTGACGCCTGGTCCTGCTCTCCCCGAGTTTCGGGTGCCAGGGATGGGAATGCGAAGGTCTGGGGTGAGAAAGGAGCACGCTGCCTGCGGGGACGTCTGTCCAGGGGCTCGGCATCTCCGTCGCCTTCGCTGCTCTCTGGAGGGCAGGGAGTGCTCTGGGGGACACGGGGTGGTCGGGGTGCAGAAGGGCCCGTGGGAGGACAAGGATGCAGGAAATGTGACTTCATGCTGCTGAGACCGTGAGTGGGTCCCAGGAGAGACAACAGGGCTCAGCACCTCAGGGCCTTGCTGCGGAGATGCTGGCAGCAGCCTCAGGGGACAGCAGGGACAGGGACAGCAGCAAATCTTCAGCGACCAGACACTGGTCCTGCGTGAATGGCTTGGCAGGGGAGAGCAGGACGTGGGGAACAGCAGAGTCTCCTTGTGCTCTGTACAGGGAAAGCAGCAAAAAGCATCCTCAGAGGGAGCAGGCATCAACTCTGCTGCAGCCTTTGGTGGTGAGCGGGTTCTTGGATTTGTCCTCGGGGAGCTGAAATCCTGAGAGCCCAAAAAGCATCTCACTGGGACAAACGTGGATAAACCTGGAGCCGCAGGGACGGCTGGTTCAGATGGGCCGGGGCAGTGATGCTCTCCCTCCCAGGAGCAATTTATCCAGCCCTTCTCCAGCTCTGGGGGCTGCGGTGGGTGAAACCTCCATCGGGAACGTGGGGGCATGAGTGGGGGCTCCGGGCTTTGGCTCGAGGTTGGTGGACGTACACTGGAGGTGGCTGGAAATGCCGGAGAAACGGTGGCTCAGGGGAACGCCGGGGCTGCAAAAGCATCTGGGCAAAGTTTGGCTGAAAAAGACCCTGGAGCTGTGACCACGTCTCTTCCCCCCATCAGTGGGGAGCAGCCGGGCGGGAAGCTGGTGGGGCTGGGTGCGGAGGGACTGGGAGCTGATGCTTCCCCCACTGCTCCCGACTCTCCAGGAGAAGGGTGTTCATGCAGCCAGGCTGGTCCTCGTTCTCCTCTTGCCCCGCTAATGAAGGGCTCGTTAAGGGTTTTCAGGTGCTCCCTGCCTCCAAAATGTCCTTGGTCTGCGCTCCCGCTTCCCACCCCATCAGCTCCAGTGCCTCTGGAGGCAGCAGCTCCGGCTCCTGGGGAGGAGAGATCTGGGAATGGCCCAGGGTTGGGGTCTGTGGGTTGCGGGGGTGGGGGGATTTGGGGGTGCCCTGGGCTTGCATCCCCCCTCCTGCCCTTGGTGGAGCTGTGGGGAGGTCAGGATGGGGAGGGGGGGTGCAGCTTGGGGGTCCTGCTCTGCTGATCTGGGGTGGAGGCAGCCAGTGGGGTTGGGGGGTAGGAGCGCAAACAGGGCTGCAGAGAGCTGGGGGGGATGCTGGAGGGGTCCGGGGGGGGGGGCAGGAGGGCTGGGCGTGACCCCTCCCTGCCCTGTTCCTTCCTGGGGGACCGGCAGCGCGTTCCCTTACCAGCCCGTGGCGATGGGGCGCTGCTGCTGCTGCTGCTCAGGTTTTTTGGGATCTCCGTGCTCCTCCCTCGGTGAGCGTGCCACACCCCCCCCCCCCCCAGCCCAGGCCGGCCCCCCCCTTTGGCATTCACCACGTGCCTTAATTGTGTGACATTAAATCAAGGTCCACGGTGAACACGAAACGCTGGGGCCGATGGCTGGGGGTGCACAGCGGTTGGAGGGGGGTCCCCGCTCCAGCCCCAAACACTCATCACCCGCCTCGGCCTCAGGACCCCCCATCAGCCCCCCCCCCCCCCCCCCCGCTGGGACCATGCTGTGCCCTCCCCCAGGGCTGGCACTGGGGGGTCAAGAGACACCAGCAGATTCAGGGATGGGGGCTGCCCCCACCCCTGTCCCTATAAAAGCCCAGATGCACCCCCCACCCCCCCCCCAGACCCAGTGCCTATAGTTACCGTAGCAGCCCTATATGGTCCCTCTTTCTCCTCTGCGTAGACTCTCTCCAGAGACCCTCTCTGCCCCATAGCGCCGGGCCGGGGTGAAATTGGGGGGGGGGAGCTGCAATACAGATGCACCCCCAGATCTGGCCCCATCCCACATCCTTCAGGCCCAGCTGGGAGGCGGCTGCTTGACCCCTCTGCGCCCGATCCGGCCCCCAGCGCCAGGGCAGCTATTTTTGAATGAGATAAAAAAACAAATTCCACACACACACCCCCACCCCCCCCCACACACACCCCCTGCTTCACTGCTGTCCTTGCCTCCCCCGGCTTTCGTCAAGCCATCCGCACCCTCAGAGCCATGGAAACCGGGGGGGGGGGGGGGCATCTCCCTACCAGCTTAAACTCCCCGGCCGATCACCCTGAGAGGGATCTGGGGGGGCTGGGGGCTGCTTGGTTGCAGGGGGACAAGGGGAGATCCTGGAATATCAGCTAAAACAAGGTGAGTTTGGGTGCATTCAGGTGGGTTTTGGAACGCTGGCCCTAGAGGGGTTGAACGGAGGGGAGTAAAACCCCATGAAATCTCATCTGCTCTTTTTCTATAAGGCATTTAGCATCAAAATAGTTGAAATGGCTGAAATTGCCTCAAATTCCAATCCTATGGCCCAGGCCTTCCAACCCCCCTCTCCAGGCCAGGGCTTGGTCCCAAACAGCAGCAGGTAAAGGCTGGCTGAGGCCTCATAAACTCAGCACAGGTAACAACCCCTCCCCACCGGGACCTGCCCCGGCCCTTCCTGGGGACCGGGATGGAGCAATGAGGGGGACACACAACCACCCCCCCCCTTCAGTTTCAGCCCTGTGCCCCCCCACATCTCCCTGGGGCCGTCCCAAGTGCAGCCCAGTAAATGCCACTTTCCACCCGTGGTTTATTTTCTTTTTTTTTTTTTTTTTTTTGGGGGGGGGGGCAGAAGGATTTTTTTATTGTAAATGTTCCCAGGCTGGGGGGAGATTTAGGGGGGAGCAACTCCTTAGTGGGGTATCCAGGCTGTTCCCGGGGATGCGGGGGGGGAATTCCTTGTGGGAGCTCAGCCCCCCCCCCCCGCTTTTTCCCCCTCCCCCCCAGGCTCTTGGGGGTTGGACACCCCCACCCCGACCCCCCCCAGCGCACCCCACATCCCACCGGGAGCGGGGGGGTGTGTGTGTGTGAGTCCCCGGGGGTCGTGCTGTGTGTGCCCCCCCGCCCCCCCGCCGGCAGCATCCATCTGTAGGTGCCCCCCTCCCCCATCGCAGTTACCTCGGTGCCCGGGGGGGTCCCCGGCAGGAGGAGGAGGAGGAGGAGGAGGCTGAAGGGCACCGGCAGGCAGAGCCCGGGGGACAGATTCGGCGTTGTCACCTCCCCAGGCAGAATGAGGCCACTGCCGGGGGGGGGGGATTGGGGGGGGGGGGGGGTTGTGTGTCCCGCGTGTGCGTGTGTGCGGGATGTACGTGAGGGGTTAACCCTTCCCTGATCGGCCCCGGAACCTGCCA